CGAGATGGATTGAGGTGTTGGATTGGTTATGAAACGGTATGTTACTTTTTCAATATATTTGATTAAAACCTTTTCAAGAAAAATTGCACATGCAATGTATACAAGATTAGATTCGACTATTATTTGTCAAGGCAAGCTTGTCAGATAGTTACCTTGGTCAGCAATGCAGGTTGGAGAGGTTGACATGCAAAAATCATTTAGTCCTTTTGATGGGACTAAAACTGAGGCTTCATGTGTTACAAAACTCAAAACTCACATGTTAAAGGCAGGCGGAATGGAACGGGAGCAGAATAATGTCGTTCTGGCAAAATGTATCATAGGGCATTAAGGCTTGGCACTTCACAGGCCTTTCAACGTTGTCAAGGCATGCTATAAAACATTTAAAATTCTGTATTGTGTTTTAGATATTGGTGATGGTATGGTAGACAGGGAAGTCAAACGTCCATTTACTGATGCGATGAATTGACTCATTAGTATCAAATTTTAAAATATCTACTATTTAGTCCAGATAAATTTTGACTTCTCATCCATAAAAAAAATTATCAAAATTCACCTATTTAAACTTAATTTTGCTGTATTTGTATTAAAATTGCCCATTTAAGCGTGGTTTTTTGCGCTTTTCTATTTATGTTATTTTTTATTTAATTATTATTAGAATATCAATAATTCAAAACACTCCATGAATATTATCATTATCTATTGATATTAGTCTATTATTGTCATTACTATTAGTGTTATTATTGATATTAAAATCCGTTATCATATTTATTGTGAATAAAATATCAAAATAATTAACAATGTTGGTTTTGTTTTTGAAAATATTGTGCGAATTCTAAAAAGAATAATGTGATAAAGTTTATATGTGCTACTTTTGTATGTTTCTTCATTATTGCAGTTAAAATATGTAAAAGCACATGCTATTTCTGTGTGGCAGCCACTTTGCAATATGATCAAAGTATTGAAGTGGCAAATTGAAATAAGACACCGAACATATCTCAATCTGATTAATATAGAAATCTGGAATTAGTTTTGCGTTTTTCTCAAATGGCAACTTGAATGCATAATTCACAGAAAAATATGAAACAAAACAAAACTAGAGCCACATGTGGCACATTGTGGGACTTGCAAATGTAGCAAATTGCAAAAGACTCTGAAAAAATCAACTTTCTACCATAATTACGTCACGTGTTTGAACAGTCTAAAGTTGAGAAGTTTAAATTTTTTGGAAGATTGTTATACCGGAAGTAGACAGACCTCACAAATGAAAGTATCAGAAGATAGCCAAGGTCAATGACCTTTGACAAGTCATCAAAATTTGAAAATATATACGGCTATAAAACCGGAAGTTGAGATAGGACAGCAAATATAAAAGTATAAATAGATAGCCAATGTGAATGACCTTCGATCCTACAAAAGTCAAGGTCAAAAATTGAAAATTTAGAATTTTCAAAACATGTTCCTTTTTTTGAACTGTAAAGCTGAAACAATCGAACTTCTAAGACAAAGTGGGCCAAGAGATGAAGTAATTGATGCAAAGTTCCATTTTGAACAAATGTATTCTTTGCGAGTTATGCCCCTGGCCAAAAATGTCAATAATGAGTAATTTAACCCGGATGTGCCACTCCCACCTCATTTTTTGGGGCATAGGTTAATTGATATTCTGAATGTTATGTTGTGTTCCAAATTTAAAGCTTCTACATCATACAGGTCAAAAGATATAGGTCAAGAGAAGTCAATAAAGGCCAAAATCGAAAATGGAAAATATAGAAATTTTAAAACCCGTTCCTTTTTTGGAACTATAAAGCTGAAACAACTGAGCTATTAACACAAACTGGCCAAAAGGATGAGGTAAGTGTGTGTAAAGGTCCTTTTTGAACAAATGTATTCTAAGCGAGTTATGCCCCTTCCCCAAAATGTAAACAATTAGTAATTCAACCCGGATGTGCCACGCCCACCTCAACTTTTTTGTCATAGGTGAATTCATATTCAAATTGTTTAGGTGTGTTTCAAATTTCAAGGTTCTGCATCAAATAGGTAATAAGATATACATAAGCTCAAAGAGACAGAAATATTGTAAAAAAAAACCACTCAAATTTGAAAAAATCACAAATTTCACGAAATTAGCCTTCTACGTTAATTAGGTCACGTACTAGAGCAGTCCAAAGTTGCGGATTTGGCTGTTTTCGGACATCCAGAAAACCGGAGGTAGATGTCGGAGGTCAAATATGAAAGTATCAGCTGATAGCCAAGGTCAATGACTTTTTATTCAATAAAGGTCAAGGTCGTCAAGGTCATTAGAAATAAGCCGTCAAACTTTCAAAAATTTCAACCGGAAATTGCAAAAAAGCAAAAGCGAAAATCAAAAATCGGGCTTATTTATTTTTTGTGTTCTTTCATTTGACACCAAATTCATCTAAATTGGATAAGCCGTTATCTCGGAATAGATTTTGAGGCATTTCAGGAAAATCAAAATGGCGGCCAAAGTATCACTTCCGAAATGGATTTTATATTAAAATCGGCTGTAGAATAACGATGGCTACCCATGATTTCAATTTTGTTGACATTTATTTGTAACACCGGAAGTTATTTAACCGGAAGTTAAAGTCGATTTCCTGTTTAAACCGGAAGTGATGCAAACAATTTGACTGTACCGTTTTGTTTACTACAGCAATCTATCTTTGCTTAAAAAATTTCAGATTAATCGAACAAAAAATACAGAAGTTGAAAAAAATGCAAAATTTTCCGATTTTTGTCTGCTCTTTTCACTTTCTCTTCTCACTTTTGCGACTTCGTAGATAATTTTTTTGTGTTCCACTGGAGACTAATATTGATCTATATCGCTAAAGATTCAAATCAAATACAAGATTTATCTATCGGACAGTATGATTATAAATGTGACCGAGTAACCCAACACTTGTCGGCAAACACTATTTAACATTGTTCTAATAACATCTTGTCGATGTCTTTGATGTATTGGATCAGATCTATTTATAGAATCACCGAGTTCTGTGTTAGTACTGCAGAAAGTTCTACTTCTCTATATGATGACCACAAAATGAAGAAAAAGAAACATATACAAGGATATCTGTAAAACCTGGGACTAGATTGGTAAACAATCGAGTTCAATGTTTTGGTGATGAGTTTTTTGCCTTCGGCTGACTTTGCAGCATTTTTAGAAAAATATAATGTTTTAGCTATGTGAACTAAGATTTCGGAATTAACACATCTTATTACATGATTGAAGAGTTAAATTAGCTATGATTTAACAATCTAGTCATTATTTCCTTTAATTTTACTTTAAATGCCAACTTTTCTTTTTTGGGGGTATAGTTATCTCCCTTAAACTGTATCTAACTTGTGTTTTTATTTTTCATATCGTTACTAAGAGGAAGATATTAAAGCTCCTGTGCGGCGATGCTATGCGTTCATTTCACCGCAGCGTTTCACCGGATCGAAACAAACAAGGGTATGCATTTGACATGACACATACATGCTGTTGCGATGTGTTGCTATATTTCCCCACTGCGTTTCACCGGACCAAAAGTCTCGGGACTTTCTGTCCGGTGAAACGCAGCTGTGCCGCATGTGATTTCAATTATTTTCAGACGTCATTGTGGGGAAACCCCATTATTATAGAGTGGAAGCCGTCAACATGCCACGTACCGCACCAATAACTCCCCAAGAAGTAGAGGAGTAAAATCCCGGCCTTATCTGTACAACCCACATGATCAGGATTACCATGACTCCCAAAAATCTTTGAATGACTGGGCAGAAATAGCCAAGAAAATAGGGGGTGCAGTTTATATTTTTACGCTTTATATAATTTGTATGACACACATTAATCAAAAGCAAACTTTCAACAGGTGACAGAGACTTCTGAATGTTAGTATACAGCCATTAAACAGTTTTTCAATGTTTCAGGTGAAATATGTAAAAAACGCTGGAGGAACTTGCGTGATACATACGTAAAAAAGAGGCGTGAAGCAAAGTTAACCAAAAGTGGTCAGGCAGCGAGTGGTAACAAGAAGTGGGTTTACTATGATCTGCTTAATACCTTCATGGAGACTGTTGTTACAGCAAATACGTAGGTATATTCTGTGGTTGTTTCTGAGGCATCATGTCACAACGACAGGATATAAAATTGGATATTTGAACAAATAGATCTACCATTTTTTTTAGGGAGACCAATGTTCCATCTCAGCAGACAACACCTCGACCACATGAAACATGATAATGAAGAAACATTTTCATATGATGCCGAATCCATGCAACCCGATTTAAATTCGGAAAACGACAGTGGAAATGAAGATTTAGACAGGTATGTTGTGAATTATGAATCAGTTCCTCGTCTTACCACATTCAGCTGCCAGGGAAGAGGTGCAAACTCATTGAAGTACCTCCTGAACAGTTCTCTTGTCGCTTGGGCATCTGCCTCTCCACGTGGGCACCCACACTATCTCTCTTGCTGTAATGGCACCGATGCTTCACAGACTGCAGGTACATCATTATTATGCGTCAAAATTTGCACTGGCGTGCTTGACCTTTGGACAAGATTGTGCAGAACACAAGCTGCTTTAACGAGGTCTACAGCATAGCAAGGACCTACACCTATCTTTGGGTGAAAAATTTTCCACCTTGCTACTAAAATCCCAAAAGCATTTTCAACTATACGACGCACTCGCGACAGTCTGTAGTGATTACTAACACTCATACCAAGTTTTATCTAAATCCGTCAAAATTTGTGCCTTTTGGAGTGTTTACGAGCTAAAAAATTGAACGCGTTTTCAAGAACAAGGGCAATAACTCATACTAAATATTTTTCGATTTTTCTGATTTTCAATAGGGTTCATCCTCTGCGATTACAAACAACCATACCAAGTTTCGTCGAAATCAAGAATTGTGCCTTGTAGGGTGTTTACGAGCCATTGTGGACGGACGGACAGGGTGACGACAATATACGCCCCTATTTCACGTGGGCGTATAAAAATGATGCATGTGCTTCATCAATCCAATAGAATTGACACAAATTTTCCCAAATTATAGTAATTTATTGAAGGAGATTACAGATATGATCACAATAAAAACACAGGTTAGATACAGTTTAAGGGAGATAACTGTACCCCAACCCAAAAAAAAAAAGAAAATTTGGCATTTAAAGTAAAATTAAAGGAAATAATGACTAGATTGTTAAAACATAGCTAATTTAACTCTTCAATCATAGAATAAGATGTGTTAATTCCGAAACCTTAGATCTAATAGCTAAAACATTATATTTTTCTAAAAATAATGCAAAGTCAGCTGAAGGCAAAAAACCCATCACCAAAACATTGAACTCAATTGTTTACCAATCTAGTTCCAGGTTTTACAGCTATCCTTGTATATGTTCCTTTTTTTTCATTTTTGTGGTCATCATATATGGAAGTAGAGCTTTCTGCAGTTGTATGTATGATCAGCAATGTTTCACTACAGCGCGACATCTTAAACAAATAAATTATTAAAATAATAAAGTGTCGTAAGCCAAATGTTACTTGCAATTGCTCTAATTGGTAATAATTTCGATATTAGCTTAAATTGTTTCCAACTGGTACATTCGCTGAGTTTTCGAATCATTGATAAATGCAAATATTTTCAAGATCATCAAAGTGGCTTTATTTCAGAGCCCTGCTAATAAAATGTACAACATTTATTATTATTGGTCTTTGAAATATTAGTGGTCTTTGAAATATTAGTGGTCCATTTTTAAAGGAGCACCTTCACTTCGACCAATCATACCTTAGTTTCAGAAACAGGAATTTCTTTAGCTTACATAATCAGTAATCATCGTCACAGCACATCGTCGCAATTTGAGCCTTCAAATCCATGTGTATCCATAATTATTCACGTTTAAAAGTTAAAAATTCGACTCGAATTTTAGTGAGACTATGCGATATATAGAAAACACATATATAGGAATAGACAGTGAAATTTCTAGTTTGAGGTATATTAGAAGGGATTGTGCGATTTTCGTGCGTTTTAGTACTTCTTAAGACTATTAGACAATAAAGACCCAAATGAATCCCCAGAAATGCCGACTGTTCCTCTTTAAATATGGCAAAATAACTTGCTCTTTTACTCAACAAATTGTTACTGATATTACTGATATTTGTTGTGGTATATTATCCTTCGCAGGAAATAATGAAATGTGCTTTTATAAATCTTCTCCAGATATTCTACCCTGGAACACTAGTCCGGATTGTAACGACTAACGTCAAACACAAAATTTAGTAAAAATAGGGAATTATTTTAATTGTAGACATTGTAATAACAAACACATAGTTTACAAATTGGAATAGAAATATACACCAAGGTGAAATTTTGACCAATCTCATTTAAATGGATTAAAATATTGAGTCAATGACAACCTGAATACTTCTTTTATTTGTGATCTGGAAAATATTTTCTCTTACTTACTGTCAGAAGAGATTTTACTTCGAAAAGTGGGTAATCAAGGCAGAGATGTTAGTTCTCTTTAAGTGTAAAATCAAAGTAATATGTCTATGGAGCTAAACCTCCGTCAAGACAGATTTGGCATCAATGTGTTCTGGTCACGACCCTGCTTTCCAACCCTCTTCTTAATTCTCATACAGGTTAATATCTCTATTATCTGAGACATAGTATATTAATCATTATGAATGTCTTTGAGAAGAGGGAAGTTCCTATGTGGGTAAAGTGTGAAATGACAATACCAATACAGCAATTGTGGAAATTTTTGGGGGTCGTGACCTGGCACTATTTTGTACAGAATATACATCTGTTATCCATAACTTCCATTGTTTATAAATTTTGTGTCAAGAACTTTTAGTATATTAAATTCTACGTAAAAGTGTCCCTCATTATTAATAAATCCTTCCGTTGGATCAGTTAGTTTATCCCACGGTATCGACATCTCGCGTTCCAAAATACTCGAACCTGGTTTAAATACCCCAGTCCATGTTTCACTGATCATATTTTTATCTTTATTGAGAATTGTTACAGTATATTCTATTTTACAACACTTTACTCCTGGATTATGTGTTGGTAGTAACACGATTTCAATATCTACACAACTCCCATATCGACTTTTTCTGAATAACCTACAACTCCAAACCATATCATGACTAGTGCATTTATCTTTACAGCAATACTCCTCATTACATGTGATATTTTTATAGTTAAATTTAAATACAGTATTCTCAGTGGATGGATTTATTGGTTTAGTAACAGTTGTTGCTGTTCCACTACCCGCAATAAATTGGTGTGGCGTTGTTACATATGTTATTGGTGCACTAACCGCAATAAATTGGTGTGGCGTTGTTACAGATGATATTGGTCCACTACCCGCAATAAATTGATGTGGTTTCGTTACAGATGTTATTTGTCCACTACCCTCAATAAATTGGTGTGGTTTCGTTACAGATGTTGCTGTTCCACTACTCGCAATAAATTGGTGTGGCGTTGTTACAGATGTTATTGATCCATTACCCTCAATAGATTGCTGTGGCTTTGTTACAGTCCTTATTGATCCATTACCCTCAATAGATTGTTGTGACTTTGTTACAGTCGTTATAGGTTCACTACCCTCAATAGATTGGTGTAGTTTTGTTACAGTCGTTATAGGTCCACTACCATCGACAAATTGTTGTAGTTTTGTTGCAGTTGTTACAGGTTCACTACCCCAGATTAATTTCGTTACAGTTGATCCCAAAATATCACAAACTTTAACATCTCCCTCTTGAATACAACGAGACCGATAAGACTGCATATTCATCATAATGCAGGCATACCAATAGTAATCCAGCAAGTAAGATAGTCCATACCCATTATGATAGTCTTAAGAGATGTCCCATATGTCTTAATACAAAAGATGATTGTCGTGTGTTCACGAAACAGAACTGACAACCTTGTTCATAGCATAATAAAGCCAATAGTTTAAACAATATTACAAACAAATATACATATTACGTGAATTAATGGTGCCATACAGAGACAAGCTTGAAGCTTATATGAGTCTGTCTCGAATGTAGATGTACACAGAATTTGTTTGTGAAAAGAAGAAAATGAAAGCAGCGTTATTTCATATACATTTACATGGAAAGCAAAATATAACAGAACTATTTACAGAAAGGGGTATATGTGAGGGACCGAATAATTTCGTTGGTGATTAAAACAAGAAATTCAGTATTGACAGGTTGAAAATAATGAGGGGATGAGGATTGTCTATCGCTATTCATTTTCCCGATGTCAAAGTATAACCTCCGTTGTCAAACCGAGTGTAAACCTAGTGTGAAACGGAGGCCATACCTTGACATCGTGAGCTACTACATATCAAAACGTTTTGTCGATGATATAAAATTTTGAACAGTTTGAAAAGTATACAAATTCATATATAATGATAATGTAGGATCGCCGTTAAGAAGTGTTATTATAGAACGTAAATGAATAGGAAGAAGATAAATAGTATCATTTCGTTGGTTTGTGAATTTACGACAAAAGAGAAGAAAGTGTTCATAATTTTCGAAAGTATGACCGCTTGAACATGAGGGGTTTTCAGATATATACATTTGTGAGCATTTAGAAGAGTTTTATGGTGTCGTAATTTGGTATGGATTATTTGTAGTGCACGGTCGCCAGAGTGAAAATATGTTGGTACGGACGATTTCGATATAAATATTAAGTGTGGATTTTAGCTGAGACAGGGATAAACAATTACGTATAGAGTCGTGTAGATTATTCCAGATTTGTACTATAGATGGAAGAAAAGATGATTTGTACTGTACTGTATGGCAAGAAATAGTTCGAAAAAGGTGATGTGGTACGGGTTTACAGTTGAAATTTTGGGTGGTACCAGAATGCTCAGATATTGAGGTGTTAAACCATGAATCATTTTATAAAATAAAATTACTTTGTGGGAAAAGCGACGATTACTTAAACTTGAAAAACCGGATTCCTTATATCACACTGAGAGGGAAGTTCCACGAACAAGACCTGTTATAGTGCGAATGGCATCCAAATTGATGTTTTCTAATTTAGTTGCGTCTTCTTTTGTATAAGTATATAACAAACTATCCTATTGTTCATTGGGTGAAGTTAATCTTAAATTAGAACAGAAGAAAAAATACCGTTCCAGGCTGCTTATTCCAATTTCTAAAAGAAACATTTTGTTCCATCAACAGCCTGTACATTGGGGATGCAGTTCTAGCAGATGGAGAAAAATACTGATATACATGCAGTATACGGTCCAAAGAAAAAAAAATTGAAAACAACCATCACTTTTTATTCCATGCACAAGCTTTCCCATAACCATATTAAAGGCAGCAGTTTTAGCAGATTGAGAATTGAACTACGTTTAATAGTTTACAGACCGTAGAAAGAAAACTAAAATATACTATAGACTTTTTTAAATGTTCAAGGAAGGTCATAATCATTTTAAAGACAGTAATTATAGCAAAGATCAAAGGGAAAAAATACCTGACTTTGAAAAAAAAATGCATTAACGTAGCTCATAACCATATTAGAGGCAGCAGTTTTAGCAGATTGAGAATTGAACAGATACTAGAATAGACAGTGGTTTACAATTCCTAATTTTAAAAAACTATCCATTTCCAACGCGAAAGATATACGTGGTGGCACACCAAATCGTATAATTGATGCCTCTATCACAATTTCAAATCATAACGGACAAGGGCAATAAATCAAAATCCACAATCTAATAATTTTCATTTTCAAACCAAGACCTCATTAATATACCTTCACATTAGGTTTTAAGTAAGGTTTCATCATTCATAAGTTGAAACGTTAACTAATTTGTGGGCAAAGATCTTATCAATATATACACCCATACCATGTTTCATCAAAATGGCTTGAAAGAAGTGTAAGGTTTTTACTAAGTCAAGGGCTATTTATCCAAAAGCGTCACTCCGATTGTAGAAAAATTCAAATTTGACCAAGATTGAATTAATATAATTCGTGCAACTTAAGTTTTCATCATCAGTATCGGACAAAAAAACTGGTCTATACAAACTTAATTTGAAGTGTTTATAAGTCAAGGGCGATATCTCTAAAACCATTCATATTACCTAATTCGCACTGGACAAAGATCGTATCAGTATATAGATGGATCGGATGAAAACTGTAGCCTATATCATGTTTACAAGAAAAATATTGATGTGTTTTACGAAATTATAGGAAATAGCTCATAAAACGCTCATTATTAAATTCGACCTTGATCAAAAGCTGTATCGTGATTATCGTTTCTACAAGAGCGGACAAGAACGGACAAGAGCAAAATATGTCCATAATTCCAGGTGGGAGTATAAAAATTAAAGACAACAATAGAAAGTATCGGCAACATTTTCATTGAGTTATTAAAATTATCGCAGGTCTTCCACCTTCTAATACTTATTCTAAATTCTTTAGCTGCGCAGTAATGATTAGTTTAGGGAATGTGAAGTAATAAAAACAACGGAAAAAAATGTCACAAGATGGAACTCTAAACATCACCCAGAAATCGGATTTTTATCTTTGCGAGTTTTTAGTCTGTAATGCGAAATTTCTCGGCAATGATAAGAGTTGTAGGCCCATTATCAAGATATTAGAGGAAGGTATCTGACATGTAAATCATTAATATCCTACTCGAGATGTTTCTTGTACCTGATCAAATCGGTTTTTTTCAAAAGTGAATTGTTGAACTGTATAATCATTATCGACAGTAGATGTTCAATAGACATGAGATGCCCGTTTTCTTTTCATAATTTACGCCACATCAGCTTAATACCGGGCATTGCAATTTGTGAATCAATTGTTGTATCAATGAGTATGAGTATTTGGCACGTGCAAGAAAATGAAACAGTCAAACACAGTTTAAGGGAGATAATTCATAACAGTTAGATTAAAATTGCATTTACAGCTGTCGAGTCAAAGTAAAAATAACCAAATTATTTAAACCTAGCCAATTTTGCCTTAGTTTCATGCTTTTACGTGTTTAAATTCTAAAACCTTTGGTCACACAAATAAACAATTCATATATTAGCTATATAATATAAAACCAGCTTAAGGGAGATAACCCATCGAACAAAATAGTAAATTCCAGCCACAAACTTATTATACCAAGACAACTAGTGTAGTTTGTTTTTCATTTGTCGTGTTGTCCTTCCCTATTGTGTAAAGGTCATAACTCAGCTCTTAATTGCTAATACTGCACCGGAATGAATAATGTAATTGAATAAAGTATTTGATTTGGAAATAATTCTGGTCGAGTTGCCACGTTCCATTGACAAATACACACATCTTTGTGAGAACATCAACAAAATGTTCTAATGAATTTACTAAAAGTTCACCTCATGTACAATGATGATTAAGTAGCCTACTTTTGAATCTAGTAAAAAAAAAGTAGAAATAAAAACCGAAGTACCAAAGTTATGTTACATAATGTGACTTGATAATGTTATTAATATTATTTTTTATCTCCATCAAAGTAAGTGTACGTTCACCTGAGAATAAACCTTGTCCAGTTATCTTCATAATATATAAATACTCGTATTAATGTAGAAATGGGGCCTGGTATGTTTATCTGGGCTCCCCCATTTCCAGAATTGGCCATCAGGGCCAGTCTGTTGATTATATGAAAAATAACATTTCAACTTGGGTAATCAGACCGGGCAAGCCCGTAAAATATAATTAAAAACCTGTCATGTCATCATTTGAAACTTGTGTGTTTGTATTCTGCCCACTTTGATAATTAACCTTTCTCTTATCTTACATTATATAGTTATGTCACTTACATTACGTTAGAAATAACATACATACGACAACACATATTGTGTCACACCATTGTATAGATACAATTTTTCAATCAAACTCTGTACATAAACACTTTTGCATAAGCTTTGGTTTCATGTTGACTGCTTGTGGTTTAAGTTCGATTTCTAATATGAAGAAAATGAGCTCTTGAGGATGTAATTCATGTCAGACTGACTTTTACGACCCGGAACTACCAGATTTAATTTTAACCCTGTCTGTAGTCTGTTATAAATTTTATGTGTCGTTTTATCCTGTTTGGTTCTATACTATTCTTGTTGAATTTTCATTTTCATTTAATGCTAACTATATAACCTCAACGCTGTATGATATAGGCTTATCGGAGTAAATTGGTATATATGTTAATGTTAGAATCGGATGAGTGCACTCAAGAGTAAAATACATTGTTATATGTTGTATAATATGGCAAAAAAATTGTCGTTCTCTTTTGGATTAAGGATATTGCTAGTCTCAAGTCTGATTTTCGTAGTTGATGCAGATTACCCTCAATGTGGAAATGATTGTTCGACCAACCCATGCCGATGCTGTAAGTATAATACCAGTGGATTAATTCAGTTATTTATGGACATAACCTGCCAGGAACCGAATAGGAGTAGGATCATAGAACCACATATTAATGCTAACGATTCAAGTTATTCCATCTACGAAAAATTATCTTGTGTAACCAAACTACCGGTCAATATTTGTGATTTTCCGAAAATTAAATCTATTATTATGTGGGGAAATGAGATAACAGAGGTCCCAAATTTATCCTGTTTATCTGAATTGGTTTATCTAGATTTATCACATAACAAAATCACCACTCTTAAAACAGGAATATTCGACTCATTGACAAAGTTACAAGTGATAGAACTTCAGTACAATGAAATACAAATCATAGAAGATGGTGTATTCCATATTAACTTAAATAGTGTAAAGTTTGTTTTATTGAATAATAATAACTTA